TCAATCTCAATCTTTAGTCTAATAGTACGGGCTTTACGGCTTACTACTCTCATTGGGTGCTTTCCAATTGCTTATCACATTTTAACACAAACGCACACAGGAATGCACAAAGTGTAGCGTTGTGTACGATTCAATTGGAACAGAATGTGCACAGTTTCGAATAGAGTTAGATTAATTTTTCAATACAACGTCAATGCTTGGATATTTTGTAATCCATGATAGTACATTTCCATGTGCATAGCAAATATGTATGTATGTATGTATGTACATACATACATACATACTTCAAATTGAATGTGATCTGTTTGAAATTTTCATGCAAATTATCATCAGAGAAGTAATGAAGTAAGTATTAAAAACTTGCGCAGGTAACAAACTACGTTTATTATAAATAAATAATCGAAAAATATACTTAAAAGAAAAAATATAATACAAAGATCTATAACAAAAATTTATTATAATGTAATATCAAATAATTTTTAAATAAATTACTTCAACGAGACTTAATATTTTTATTGTGCATTATATCCTAAGTTTTTTAACCTGTATTAAATAAAACAAATAAACAAAAACAATCACTTCATGTTCTCTAACCTCATTTATCGCCGCCATCATAAATTATTAATATCACTAGAAAACTTACACAGCCGACTAGTAGCCTCAAGCTAAGTATAAATGTGTTGGGTTGTGTCGATTATTACGGCAATTGGAACACAATTTGTGTCGCTGTGTGCACAAAAGTGTCTAGTGATTTTACAATTGGAAAGCACCCATTGTAGATAGACCTTTAAGGTCCATCTACAATGAGAGTAGTAAGTCGTAAGCCGTAAGAAATTGACCAGTCATAGTCGAATATGAGAAGAATAATCGACTGTGATTGATCAATTTCTTACGGCTTACGAGTTACTATTCTCATTGTAGATGGACCTTAAGTGGAATCGCATCCTAAAGATCCATCTACAATGAGAGTAGTAAGTTGTAAGCCGTAAGAAATTGACCAATCACAGTCGATTATTCTTCTCATATTTGACTGTGATTGGTCAATTTTTTACGGCTTAAGACTTAATATTCTTATTGTAGACAGCCCTTAAGGTCCATCTACAATAAAAGTAAATCGTAAGCCGTAAGAAATTGACCAATCATAGTCAATTATTTTTTCTATATTTGATTATAATTGATCAATTTCTTATGGCTTATAATTTACTACTCTCATTGTAGCTGGACCTATAGTCATCACAGATTGGCTACGCCGTTTTGCATCCAGCCAATCAAAAATTGAGGCCCACTTATGCCAGTCTCTCAGGGCGAATTTACACCTTGACAGAAAAGCGGAAAACAGAAAAGCAGAAGCCAATCAGAACTCGCGTTGGTAGTCAATAGTTTCTGGTTTCTGCTTTTCTTGCTACCAGTGCGAGTTCTGATTGGCTTTTACTTTTCTGTTTTTCGCTTTTTTGTCAAGGTGTGAATTCGCCCTCATTGTAGAATCAGCTTCATGCGAATGCGCCTTGACGAGCGCGTGCCTTTCGTGTGCAGCGATCGGCCGGTAGATCGTCTCGCGGCGCTGTTCGCGCATGTTGTGTTGCGTCGCCTGCGTCGGTGAGTCGGTCACGCAATTCGGGATTGTCGCAACAAGTACGGCGTGCGCCGTGCTGTAACGGACTTTTTTTTTCACGGGGTCGCGTTACTCGCGTTTAGAAAGGAGCCGCTTGAAAAATTCCCATCGAGTGTCTCGTGCGCGCCTGTGTCCCCCGACGCGCATTAATTCGCGGCTGTGCATCACATCCTATCGATTCGCCGCCCTTTTTTTTCGCTGGTTGGCGAGAGAGAGTGAGAGGGAGTGAGAGATCGACGACGCTGGGCAGGGTGCCGACGTAAAAGCGCGCAAATCCGAGTGAGAGGCCGTCGACGAGTTCAGGTATGTAATACAAAACCGCCGCGGGCGAACGATTTTCCCGGATGAGAGAAAAATTCCTCCAGCTCAGTTCCCCAGTCGGGAACGATGAACGACGTGGTTCGCACTGGGCGCATCACGTCGAGAATTAACCTTAACGGTACGTTGCTTCGTTTGACAAATCGATTCGCCAGAGACTCGGTGAAGAGATCCAATCGCGTTCCCGTGTCAAGGCCGATTTTTTTTTCTCGCCCGTCCGACGCCACTTGTCAACATTGACACGGTCCGTGACATTATTCCGTAGAATTCGACTGTATTTCCAAAGCTAACCTTTTGGGGCGCTTTGGTTATGCCTCCGATCCTCTTTCGTCAGTTTAATAAAATTACTTGAGAGAAAGCTCAATTAAAAAAGAAGGAATATCATAATACAAGTTTAAGAAGTCTTCTTGCGCCAGATAATCGGTATCAATAGGTCAAAGGCACTCAGGTGTATCCAAGTTAATTAAAAAAGAAAGAATATCGTAATACAAGTTTAAGAAGCCTTGCGCCAAATAACTAATCGGTATCAATAGGTCGAAGGTACTCAGGTGTATCCAACTTGAACAGTTCTGAAGGAAGAGAAACTTTATTCCCTTCTTTGAATACATATGCGCAAAAATAAAACTAAAAATATCGAATAAGCAAAATAATGGACAGTTCATAATTGTTGAAACGATATAAGTAACGTAATCAGGATTCGTTAATATTTACTTGCGATATGTACAGTATTTTTATATTCTGTAATAAAGATGCTTATATTTTTCTCGATGACCAACTTGTGACTAATGGCATGTTTGTACAATGATAATTTCCAAGAATAATGTATCTTTGATAAAAGGAGCAATATCCTATAATCCATCTGTTACGTTAAGTCCCAATTTAGAGCAGACTATACAAGCCAGTAAGTTTCACACGTTAAAAGGGCTCTTAAAACATTTACAATCCAAATTTGATTTCGCTTATTCGGGAAGCATATTTATTTGCAAGTAACCATTTTGCAATTCTGTTTTCAGACTAGAGAGATGCATCGAAGGAGGTAACAAATCTAGAAGACAGGATCATGGCAAACAGAAGGGACAAGCCTACTGGCTTTGTGAGTAGAATCATTAAATCTTAAAAATGAATGTTGATTTAAAGAAAAAAACTTATCAGTAAAAGAATATGAAGAGGAAATGAAGTACAATTGGTACACTTAAAACTATTTAGTGTTATAAATCATGTTATTGAATATGGAAAAATATGGATTGTCCAAGTTTTATGCTTAGAACGTTTAGAATAATTCAGATTGATTTAGATTTAGATTTGTGTATAGCAATGTACCAATATTATCATATTCAAGGCATATAAGTACGTGATTGAATGAAAGCAATGAAGATACTATTTTGAAATCTAATTGCACCTTATTCCATCTCAACAATCAAATCATTGCACACGATAGTGTAGTATTCTGAGATGACTCTACACTCGTACACGGAAAGGATTTTGCTGAAAGATCTAAAATTTAGCTGAATACAAATCTGAAAATAATTCTGTTGAACCATCAAAATAATTGTATTGGAAACTCAATATTGATGAAAAATGCTGTAAGAAATGTTGTCATTCTAGCAATCAGTTTGAGTTTCCGACATAATTACTTTGGTGATCGAGCGAAATTATTTTCAGATCTGTATATTGAGCGAAAATTTACGATCTCTTTTAGCAAAATCGTTCTTTCCGTGTTTGATTATTTTATGCCACTATTTTTAACTCGAGTTGCAATATTAGAGGATCGTACGTTCTACGAATATTTGTACCTTTTCGATGCTTCTTATCTCTGCGAGTTTCGCAATCGTAACGTTGGTAGTATCAGCGCTTTACCATTTGCCTATGTACGACAGTCGCGGTCTCGATACCACCGAGGCACGATCGAATGCTATTGATTCTCGATTCTCTTTCCTCCGGTCGCGCATATTATCGCGGATATCGGTTCCATCGATTAACAGACGTCATTTCAGCGTCGCGATTTCGCGATAACGCGTTTGAACACGTACACCAAAGTGCATCTCGGTAATGTTACAAGTATAAATTAGGCTCGAAGGAACGGCTCGGCAGAAGTAAAAGAATGTCTGGCATCCAAAGGAGAAAGAGTTGGTATCATAAAGCCGAGGCCAGCATCAAGGTAGGAACGACTTTTTGGAATCTCCACTTTCGGAAACCAGTTTTCGATAAAACGAGAGAAGTTTTTTGAACTATATATACATTTAAAAGAGTCGTGTAACGTAAAAACGTGCAACGTAATAAAAACGTAGACATTTGATTTCGAAAATGGAAGATGAGTCATATATAATTGTGTCGTGTATCGCAACGATAAAACGCGTTAATTATTAAGTACATGCCTCCGTTTATTTATTTGTGGATGAAAGCTATTGCTGCAACGGCAAAAAGAACGATTTTGTTGAAAGATCTAAAAATTTTGCTGAATACAGATTAAAAATAATTTTTGTTCAATAATCAAAATAATTTGTTAGATCGTTAAAAATGATAGG